CTTCCAGGTTTGACTTTCTTGCCATATTTTTGTATTGCTATTCAATATGCATTATTGATATATTTCTATACTATTAATTTAAAAATATTTTAACTGACTCACTTTTACCTTAAATTAACTTAGAAAAATTTATATCACTATCAGAAATGAAAAATTAGTACCAATTGTCACTAATAGAGGATACCAATAAAAAAAAATGCTTTGTTGATTGCTTGCCAAAGGCTCTGAGCCAAATGCTTCCCTTTATTTTATTGGCAAAAGAGGTTAGCAGCAGTTTTAAAAGCACACAAGCGCCAAACTGGGCCATTCTCCTTGATAGTTATTGTTATCGGAGAGAGAAAAGGCACTGCATTGCTCTTTGAGACTTAAGATTACTTAATATGGGTTCAGTGGACCACCTAAAATCATTTCAATTGCCACTGGTGAAACACTTGGGAAATACAGTAATTTAAAAAAGAAACAATCTCTGTTCAATGTAATTTATTGGGGAAGGAGACTAAATTTTGCAGTGTTTTGCAGGTTCCATTAGGCTCAGCATAGGGCTAGGTGCAGGATAGACAACTCAGTGATGGCCAACTTGATGTCTATCATCATGACTGCACCCCTGCCTCTGGCAGCCAGCCACAGAATTGCTTCTTTTGATTATAAGGATTAGGGCATAGTGAGATGACTGAACTCCTGGAAAATAAAAATCATACTGCTGGGACTATTAACAGTCCCTAACCTAAAAGTAGCAATGTCACTTTTTTCCTCCCAATACTGGAAATTGAACCTGTGGATACGCTAGGCAAGTGATCTACTACTGTGCTAAAGCCAGGCTACTGTGTATATGCTAGGCAAGTGATCTACTACTGTGCTAAAACCCCAGCTACTTTGTTTTTTATTTTTTTTTTATTTTGACAGGATCTCACTAAGTTGCCCAGGCTGGCCTCAGTCTTGAAATCCTCCTGCCAGAGCCTCCTAAGCAGCTGGAATTATAGGTGAGTGTCAAAATGCTTGGTTGCAATGTACAATTTTTTTTCTTTTAAAAAGGGATTAACTTTGAATCTAGGTTCAAATCTAGCTAAAAAACTCCCCAGTTTCAGACCTTGAAAAGGTTATTTAATCTCTTTGGCTTTGGTTTCCTTGTCTGTAATATCATTCTGATAATGCTTTTCTTATGGGAATGTTATCAAAATGAATGGAGTAATATAAATGATACAGCTGCCACATAATAGAGTCTCAGTAATTAAAGCCATCTCATATTACAATTTAGGAATAAATACACACACACACATACACACACACACACACACAGAGGGAGAGAGAGGGAGGGAGGGATGGAGGGAAGGAGAAGAGAGAGAGAGAGAGAGAGAGAGAGAGAGAGAGAGAGAGAGAGAGAGAGCGAGAGCGCGAGAGCATATTAGAGAATTCAACAAAGCCAAAAACCATTTCTATGGATACATACTAGAAATCTTGAGGGAATTGTTCAAAATCCCAAAATCCTGTTCACTGGGACTAATTAAGGCCAGATTAAATTGTGTCTATGTTTTATTTTTTCTTTTATTTATTTATTTTTTATCTTGAGTCATCTAAAGAATTCATGCATTCTCTTTTTGGCAGTGTGGCTGAAGTACTAGGCAGAAGGAGTAGACACCTGACTTTTTTCATCTTTGACTCAGGAATGTTCTACATATTTGAGGATTATTTTTACATTTAAGGTTCTTACTTGATGTCAAAGCATTTCTTTTGATCAGATCAATATATCAAAAATATTGATTGAGTCTAGTTACCTGATAAAAGTCAATGGAGCATGTTCCATGCACACTGGAAACTTATCACATGCAGGCTTAGCTGCACATTACCCACTGAGAGCAGCCCAATCTGTCATTCATCTGTAGGAAAACCACTTTGGATCTTCTTAACAGTGCTTTTCTGTGATGCCCAGTGTGCCTCCTGTGGTGACCTTGATATATTATTTTGATATAACTGGAAATTGCCATTTTCCTTTTTATATTGTTCCACTCTTAATTTCATAAAGAAATTTTGTTCCCTTAAGATGCACAATTTCCTAGATGTATTGTAGTAAATATAACTACTCATTGGTGAAATACGCATATAGGCAAAATAAAAATAAACTGGAAAATAAATTCGTAGAATATAAAAATCTGCTTAAATACTTCCTTAATTAAAATTAATAACTCTTCCTAAGTCAATGCCAAGAGGATTCAAAATTGAATTCATATACACATAGTCACATAAATTAACAGAAAAAAATATTCAGTTAAAATTATTTTCAACTTGGGGATTGAACCCAGGGCCTCATGCATGCTAGACAAGAGCTCTACCACAGAATTTCACCCCAGTCCTCCACTGGCATTATTGGATAGCTATTTATGCTCTGTTTTGAAACTCAGAAATTTAACATCTTTTCATCATTCCTTTTAGGCCAATTTTTCTATAAGAAATTTTTCTTAACTGAAGTAAACAAAAATTTTTCCCCTTTGAAAGAAGTCATGCTTGTTCATTTGATGAACTCATTCCTTATCTACTTAGAATTTCTATGACAAGACTTTTTTTTAAGTCACCAATTTCTTCACTTACTCACTTCATCATTCATTCATTCCAAAGACACATATTGAGAACTGGATAGTATCTGGAAAAAATGGGTATGTGGTGGGAACATGAGAAAGTAAAAGAAAGCAAGGAAGTATGTGACCATGAAGCAAATGTTTAATCTCAGAGATGAGAGGCTTAAAGAAAAGGACAGATCAAAACCTAAAAAGAAAATAAAAGATCCCAATGCACTGAAGGAAAGAGAAATTCCCCAATACCCTTCCTGTTTATTCTTTTAATATAACACACAACTGGGCCCACTTTATCATAACCTGGTTGATACTAACTTTATCAAATTTTTCCATTAAAGCCAAACTGGACTTAGTGCAGTCAATGATGGAGCGCTTGTATGCCAAGTGTATCCCTTGTATAACTGACTGTGTAAGGGTTGAAATTGAGAAATCGGGCAAAAATATCAAGTAGCTGTAAAGATTGCAAAGGATCCAGGGTTTGAATGATTACCATGCATGCACAAATGAACCTATGCAGATAACTGCTGAGTACAAAGAGTACAAACTCAACACATGTGTTACATTGTGGCCAGTTGACCATGACCTTAAAGGAAGAATCTGGAGGAGCCCTGGAGTTCCTATCATGCACATTTCTAACCATAGATACAAAATTGAGTGCCAGATGATTATGGAGCCCCTTGGTTCTGATTCTTTTTATTTTACTTTTTTTTTTTTTTTTTTTTTTTAGAGAGAGAGAGAGAGAATTTTAGTTTTCAGCGGACACAACATCTTTTGTTTTGTATGCGGTGCTGAGGATCGAACTCGAGCCGCACGCATGCCGGGCGAGCACGCTAGCGCTTGAGCCACATCCCCAGTCCCTTGGTTCTGATTCTTATAAGACAAAATCCTCTACCTTCCTTCAACCAACTTTCTCAGTTGCCAGTTCAGTAAACAAGCTATAGAGTATAGAATAATTCATATAGCAGGAATTATTTTCTCTGTTATTAGCTGAATATGGTTAAATATACTCACTTCTTGATGCTTTTTGAAAATGATATTTTGTCTCATTTAAAAATTGTTGCATTTTTAAAATAAATCAGATGTTCTAGTAAAAAAAAATCTAAATAGTGTTACCACTAGGTTAGATTCTTAGAGACAATATGGGGGTGGTAGGTGGTGCCCAAAAGAGGTTTCTGCCTTTCAGGGGACTACAATCTGTGGTTAGATAGAGTACAAATAAGCAATTGAACATGTTCTATAGGAGTAAGTGATAGATATTCTTGAATCTTGCAAGGAAAAACAAACTGGAAGAATTAGAAGACAGATCAGATTGTGGTTGGATAGGCAGGATGTCATCATATGAAGATGATGTAGAAGGAGGGCATTCCAGGAGGGGAGAGTTTTCTTCATATGAACTCATTCAATTTAGTCTGAATCATTATTTATTAAGTTTAGATACCTGAGGTGCTGGGATTGTAGCTCAGTGGTAGAGTGCTTGCCTAGGACATGTGAGGCATTGGGTTCAATCCTCAGCACCACATAAAAATAAAATAAAGGTATTGTGTCCATCTACAACTAAAAATATATTTTTTAAAAGTTTAGAGAACTTAGAGAGAAAACGATGGTATGAAATAATCCCTATGCAAACAAAAGACCAGATCAAGAGGTCCAGCAATCAAAACACAGAAATCTCAAACAGGGAAAACAGAAATGTCAATAGTGAACTAATAATTCCTTTGGTGAGGAATTATGGTGGATGGCAGTTGTGCATGTATCAGAGGGTGAGATCATATATGAAACAGGAAGCCAGAGAGCCAATCTTACTCTTGTAAAAATTGCTTCCTTTCTCAAAGACAACCAGGGTTCTAGGAGAAATGCCTTGATCTCTTCCAAAAGCAGCACACCCAGCAAGAGATAACTATATCCCATTAGGCTCCACCTCAGGTAATATTGTCACTCTGGGACCAAGTTTCCCACCTCTGAACCAAAAACCACATGCAAACCATGGCAGCAAGGAAATGAAGGTCCAGTTTGTCATGCACATTTCCTAAAAGCCATGCTCTGGGTAAACAGAGGCCTGGGCTGAGGCACATCACTGAAATTTCAGAACATTGGAGATAATGTTTTATAAAAATTGTAAAATCCTCCAAAAAAATAAAATAAAAGAAGACAGCTTTGAGTACATTAGCAAAATCTTAGTTAGAGGTAAGATATTGGAGCAATGTATACAAATGACCAGGGAAAATCACATTTAAAATATGGTATTACACATTCATACAAATCCTTGATTAGATATGAGGGCTGAATTTAAGGCATTTTTAGACATGCACCTTTTTTCAGGAATCTACTAAAAAAGGATCCATAAAAACAAAGGAAAATACCAAGATGGGCAGAAGATTTGTGACCAAGCATATTAGTTCTAACTCAGGAGAATGGTGAAGAGAATCCCTGACAATGATGAACGGTTCTCTCCGCAAGGTGCACGGAACATCAAGAGAATCTTGTCCAGACAATCCAGGTTAGAAGGCTCTAGAAAATGACCCCAGAAAGATGGCATAGATGGACTATGTGATACATTTAAATATAACAAGAAGATATTTGAGAATTTTAGAGATAAATTGGTGATAATTTTATAGAAAACAAAACAAAGAACACAAAATATTCAGCATAACAAAGTATATACCATGAGAAAAGCAATCAGAGTAGACAATATGCCTTAGGGGTGAATCAACTTTATATGACCTAATCATGAAATTACTGAATGTATGACTGGAATGAATTTTGATGTATATATGAAGAGACAGAAGCTATTGTAAATGGAAGGGGTACAGTGGTGGTTAAGATGCCTTCAGGTGGCTAGATGCCTTCAGGCCACACAATGGCTAAAACTTTAAAACATCAAGATAAAAGAAAATCCCAGCAGTTCCAGAGGCTGAGGTAGGAGGATTGAAAATTCAAAGCCAGCCTCAGCAACTTAGTGAGGCCTGAAGTAACTTGACAAGACCCCGTCTCAAAATGAAAAAATATTTAAAAAGTAGGAATGTGGCTTAGTGATTAAGTGCCCCTGGGTTAATCCCTATTACCAAAAAAGAAAGAAAGAGAGAAAGAAAGAAAGAAAGGAAGGAAGGAAGGAAGGAAGGAAGGAAGGAAGGAAGGAAGGAAGGAAGGAAGGAAGGAAGAAAGAAAGAAAGAAAGAAAGAAAGACCCAATATTACTTAGAGGGAAATTTTTGAAAGTCAAGAAAGTTGAAAAGTTGTCTTGAAGGAACTGAAATCAGATACACTGGGGAGACAGAGAACTATTGTTTGCTCTAACCATGTGTATAACTTGATCCAGCTAAAGCACCAAATATTTTAAAAGATACCATTTTTCTTCACAATTTATCCAGGGAGTCTAAGTTTAGGAAAGGTTTGTATGGTATATGATCCAATTAAGTGGCAAACAGAAACGCCTTTAAAGATATCTGGTTGACTGCAATTTTTTGATCAGTGATATTATATTTGTGACTCTGTATTTAAGACCAGACTTTCCTTATGTGAATTTGATCAACATAGGCAAGCTCTATATATTTAAATTTTTTGCATTGATCTTACTGAAAGGGAGTAAACCCACAAGAGCTGCAAGATTTTAAGCACCGACATAAACACATACAAACATTCAGTTTGTTCTAATTGGAAAATGCTACATGCAGCAGAAGTATCTACAGTTCAAAGACGTCATGTAGAAATAAAATTGTCCATAGAGGTTGAGTGAAACTGTTTCCACAGCAGCCAACACAATGTTTGGTGTTGAAGAAATCATAGAAAATATTTGTTGAACAAATGAATTAATAAAATATAGCAAGTTGGTTTTTTGAACAGCTTACAGGATGATTTCCACATGCCAAAGCAAAACATTTGGTCACTTGCTTTCACTTCTCCTTTAAATCCACAAAGTAGCAAATAATTGGATAGTGTCAAATCCCTAAGGGACATAGGGATATATGCACAAAACTCCCATTCCATCAGGAGTCACACTTAGAACTTTACAATTTATAGCTCCACACACAAGTTAATACACTTTCTGTAATATGCTCAGTCTAGAAATGAAGACAGCAATAGCTTTTTTTGTAAGGGCACTTCAATCCCATGCTCCAGATAGATGCCCTGAACTGCTTCTGGTCCCTCATTTCTGCTCAGTCAGAATGACCCTGGCTTTATATGTTCTTTCCTTTACAACTGGGAATTCCATCCCAAAAGAAATCTCTACCACATAAAATATCTAAAAACCACCAATGTGGTAAGAAGCTGTTATAGCAGACTGTTTTTTAGTTCTTTTTATATTTTCAGGAGTGATGAGAAAGTTTGTAGGGTCTTGGAACACAATGGACAGCATTTAAACCAATTTAGTTAGAGTCTCAAAGATAAGGTGCCTCAGAGTGTACACACACACACACACACACACACACACACGCACACATACACACCCTCCAGAGTACGCATCAAAGGGCAATATGTATCTTTTGTTTTCCTATAAACAAATGTACTATTATAAAAGACGAAAACCGTATCAGGTCTTTCCAAGTAAACTCAGTCAAATTATTGCTGTTATTTTATTATCAAATGCAGGCAATGTTAAGATTCTTCATTTCTCTATTCTTTAATCAAATGACATTTAATTCCAAAGAGAGCTTGTGCAGGAGCGTATGGAATGAGTGTGTGTGTGTGTACGTGTATATATGTGTGCTGGATTTACTTGGACCTGTTCAGTATGCATTGTTTTCTGATGGCATCAGTTGCTTTAAATTGTTTTGCCTATCTTTTGTAAATTAGCCCTTATGCGCAGTATTTCTGCTGCTACCTGAGGTCCTAACTTGGATTCAGGTTTCTTGAAGTTCTCTGGTGATCCCTCTACCACTTCCAAGTGCCCTCAGATCTGCACACTTTCAGCTGTAATGGTATTACTGAAAAGCGTGAGAGAAGCCCTAAGGAGTCTCTCATGCTTTCTCATGCCTGGGCTTATTTTATTTTATTCCTCCCTTGCCATTGTGCTGTGAAGCATATATGCACCAATGCTACTGCACTGTCTCAGATGGGAGCCAGGTACCACCTGCCTCTCTCCAAGTCTGTTATTTAGCTCACATTGACCAGAATGATCTTTTGAATTAATGGGACATCTCTTCTAATTGGCCAATGCTTGCAACTTTCTAATTGTTAAATACTTGGACTCCTGCCTGTTCTCCCAAATCTCCAAATGACAGGAAGCTCAGTCCCCATCCTTCCCTCCATACCTTGGTCTTTGAGGAAAAGCTAAAATTGCACACTCATGTTTCTCAGCTGCTTTTTCTTCAAAGTGACCCTTCTTCCCCAAGCCTCAGCAACCTTTATCTAGTCTCTAGGATACAGCAGTCTAGCTCTGTATCTATTCTCTTTCCATCCTATTGTTTGTGACACAAACTTTATGTGTTACTTCCTTTGGGGCTTGTCCGCTTGTAGCTCAAAAGAAACTGGATCTTGAATATCAATACCCTTGACTTTATAGATTACGTGTGTGCAGTGAGGTTTAAATTGTATTTTTAGCGATTCAAAAGCTGAGCACTGACTGCTTATTTTCTTTTTGTGTTCTGGTATAAAACACTGCATCCTCTCCGAAGCAAAGCCTGCAGCTAACTGAATAGGAAAGGAGCTTGGGGAACCCTGGTTCACATCTCCAAATCTTATCCCTCCACACAAATTCTAATGAGGAGCCTATCTAAACACTTCCTCCTGCAAACACAGAAGAAAGTCCAGAAATTACAGAGACTCAGTTGGCCATGGTAGCTTTCAATATCATATAAATGGTAGACCATTTTTTAGTGTAACAAGGATTATGGGAAAAAAATAAGTCAAGTTATATTTACAATTGAAAATGGGTTTCTTATGTAAACCAGTAAGGGATTTGTCAGGGGGATGGGTGGGTACTAGACATTGAATCCAGGGACACTCTTACTACTGAGCCACATCTTTAGCCCTTTTTATTTTTAATTTTGAGACAGGGTCTTACTAAGTTGCTGAGACTGGCCTCAAATTTGCAATTCTCCTGCCTCAGCTTTTTGAGAGGCTAGGATTACAAGTATGTGCCACCATACCCAGCCAATGAAGTATTTTTTTAATTGATAAAAAAATGACAGAAGAATGCATTACAATTCTTATTACATGTATACAGCACAATTTTTCATATCTCTGATTGTATATAAAGTAGGTTGACACCAATTCATATCTTCATACATGTACTTTGGATGATGATGTCTATCACATTCCACCATCCTTGCTAATCCCCTGCTCTCTTACTTTCCCTCCCACCTCTCTGCCCTAAAGTAAATCACTGGAATTCACTGATGTTCCTTTGGATAATTGAAATTTAATTTACAATACCAAATAGCAGACTTCATCTTGCTTGCCTCCCCTACTACACACCCTGACTGCCTCCTCTAAAATTTACACATAGCAACAGGATCTGGAACTCATCTTTGCTCATAACCTGACTTCAAAAAATGCAGACAAGAGAATGTCAGAGATTTGAAAAAAAATGCATGAAGCTTAGGAAATTTACAAGGTTAGACCAGACTTGGAAATTAAGGATTCTAGAGTAAGAGATGGCATGTTTCTGAAATAAAGAGAAGAGTGGGACTTTAAAAGGAGAGCCAATTTAACAGAGGGATAGACTGTAAGAAGAAGAGAAGAGAGGTAAGGTCAGAAAAAAACAGGAACCACTTAAAATGACAGCTGCTAGAGATCTAGAGAATATTCCAAAGGGATCAAGTTTCTGGGCAATACCTTGGCTCTCTTCTCTAGGCCAAGAAAATAGGAGATCTAGACAAAGCCTTTATTTTCCAATCCTCCACTAAATTTATTCTGCATGTTTTGAATGTACCACCAGAAATATACATACGCTTATTCTGGGGATTAGGGGCCAAGGTGGTTCTTTAAAAAGGAAGGGAAGGGGCTTCTTCCTCCTTTCTCTTTTTTTTTTTGCTGTCATTTTAATTTTAATAAAATAGATAATTTCATATTACATAGAGAGCAAGTCCATCCACTCATTCTTGATAAAATTTTAGAAATATTTTCTATAAAAAGTTTAGTATTTGATTGGGAATTAGTCCATTATAACATAACTTCTACAGGTACAGAGTTCCATCCTCACTCCCATTCTTATTAACTTTGAGAAATTTTAAAAATACAGAAAAGTACAAAAAATAAGACAAGATATCCATATACCACAATCCAGAATTAGCCAGTATCTTCATATATTTACTTGCAGTCTTCAAGAGAAATGGATGTTTTATATAAAAAGCTGAAGCCCCCTCCCCACCCTACCTCCCATACTTATTCCCTTCCCCTCTTGCTCTTCACAGGCTACCACTATCAAAAGTTTGGCCTGTATTTCTCCATTTCAAAAATGTTAACATACACGTATGTATTCATTACCAATATAAAGTACTAAATTTCATGAAATTTTAATTCAAATTTACAAAGTCACTGTATGTATCATCCTGCAACTTCTTTTTCCCCCTCAATGCAATTTTTTTTAGATCCTTCTGTTAATAACATGTGGATCTCATAGTTGCATTTTGCAGATGTATAGTGTCACATCATAAGAACTTCTTTTTGTTCCTGATGAACATTTAAGTTGTTTCCAATATTTGGCTACAAATCAAGCCACAGTAAATTTCCTGGTATCTCCTGAGCATATACACTCACAAGTAAAACTGCTAAATATTTTTAAATTTGTTAAGAAGGAAAGTTTCCCTACTCCAAAGGTCACAGCCACTTTAGTGCATGGCTTTTGTATCTTTCAGTCTTCAATTCCCATGAATTTTGCTTGTGTGTTCATGGTCTATTTTCTTTCCCCTTCAGAGAACAAATTACCTCCAAATAATTTTTTTAAATAGTCCCGTATTTACTCATCTGATGAATTTCTTTAATATTGCAAGTTCTACTAAATGCATAGTTCTCTTTCTGGAATCTCTTTCCCTCTGCTGAAGCAATACCAGAGTTTTATTACTTATAGATGATCATACCATCTGTTTTTGTCTCTTCCTTTCTAATACAAATTATTACACAAGTGAAGAACTTCACATCTATATTGATGGAGTAACAGGCCTGTTTTCTGTTCCAATTTTAATGGAAATGTCTATTGTTTCAGCATTACCTTTACCATTGACTGTGGAGTATTTTTTTTATTGGCAGTCTGCTTATCATACAAACGTCTTCCTCTTCAGTATGAATTTTCAGTGTCCTCAAAGTTGTTCCCTTCATTTGTGATACACTGCCTCAGAATGACTTTATGATATATAAATTTTTGATGTGTTCCTATCTTGAAGGTACTCAGAGGGTTTTTAATGAGTATGAATTTTCTGATGTCTAATATGGTGTGATTTCTGGCTGAAAGCTTTCCCACATTCACTGCATTGGTAAGGTTTCTTACCTGTATGTATTCTCAAATGCAGAGCTAGGGTTGAGAATTGAGAGAAAGCTTTTCCACATTCATTACATCCGTAAGGTTTCTCACCTGTATGGCTTCTTACATGTACAGTGAGAGATGAACTCTGAGAGAAGGCTTTTCCACATACATTGCATTCATAAGGTTTATCACCTGAATGAATTCTCACATGCACAATAAGTGATGTTCGTTGAGAGAAGGCTTTTCCACATTCATTACATTCATAGGGTTTCTCTCCAGTGTGAATGTTTTGATGCTTTATGAGGTACTTCTTCTGGCCAAAAGCTGTTCCACACTCATTACATTTAAAGGGTTTCTCTCCAATATGAATTTTCTCATGCTCAGTAAGATTTGATTTCCCACTAAAGGTTTTCCCACACTCCTTACATATAAAGGGCTTCTCTCCTGTGTGAGTTCTCTGGTGTCTGATAAGGTTGGACTTCTGAATGAAAGCTTTCCCACAATCTTTGCACTCAAAAGGTTTCTCTCCAGTGTGGATTTTCTGATGGGTAAGGAGGTTTTCTTTCTGGCTGAAGGATTTTCCACAATCATTACACTCAAAAAGCTTCTCTCCAGTATGAGTATTCTGATGTTTAATGACATACTGCTTTTGGCTAAAGGCCTTCCCACATTCATTACATTCAAAAGGTTTCTCTCTATTATGAAAAAGCTCATGCTCAGTAAGATTGGATTTGTGGCTGAAGACTTTCCCACATACCTTACAGGCAAAGGGGCTTTCCCCACTATAAATTCTCTGCTGACTGAGGTGTGACATCTGAATGGAAGCTTTCCCACATTCACAAGGTTTCTCTCCAGTATGAATTTCTTGATACACGGGGATTTACTTTTGACTGAAGATATTTCCACATTTCTTACATTTAGAAGGCTTCTCTGTATGACCTCTCAAATGCAGAGGAATGGATAAGATTTGTGAGAAAATTTTATCATCTAGCTAAAGGCTTTTCAATACTCTTTAGAAGCACAAGGTTTCCCTTCAGCATGACTTCTATGTTCAATGAAATGTGATATGTGGGTAAAAGTTTTCCCACATTCAGTAAACTCATGAGGTTTTCCTCCAGTATGAATGCTCTGCTATCAGATGCTATATCACACTTTTTATACTGAAGGCATTTCACACTGCTTTACACTTATAGGGGGATATTACCATAAGAAATAAGCAGTGGTAGAGAACATCCAGCTAGTAAAATTGGAGACTCAACTACATACCTTCCCTCATGGTTAAGTCTAAACAGTTTCAACCTAAAACTTCAAAAATGTTTCCTTAAAGAAATGAGGTTGAGCAAACAGGATTTTTCCAATTTTCTTATATCCACATCCTTTTTTCCTCAGTCTGTAGTTTGATGAACACAACTTGCCTCCCAAGTCTTGTTGCTTCTCTATCTGCTCATCATCTTCTCAGGCTTTTTCTGACAAGACTTCTTTTCTACTTTTTCCCCACCATCCAGTGGATCTTCTTGCTTCAGTGGAGGATCATACAGTTTGGTCTCTTTATCACCTGCATTGGGCAATTCCTCTTGAAGAAATCTGCTTTAGAGAGAGTCCTGCGCGCCACGTGGACCAAGAGACCGTCCTGACCCGCGGACAAAGACCAAAAATCTTCCTCCTTTCTCTGATCTCCAATTTTGCAAGGACGAGAGCAGAAGAGTTATGCCCGGATTGTCTTCACCATCATTGCTTTCTACTTCATGCCCTGCTGCCCCTTCACAGCCTCCTCCTTCTATCTGCTGAGTGGACTTCTGGACGCTTTTGATGGACATGCTCAATCAAGGAACCCGGTTTGGAGCCACGTTGGACATGCTGACATGTGTCTGTTGGTCAACCTGGCCCTGCTGTACCCTTGAGCTACCCTTCTCTTCCAGATCAGCATGAGCTTGGATGTGGCCAGTCACTGGCTGCACCTCCACAGTTTTGTGGTCCGGGGTAGTGAGAGTCACAAGATGATTGACCTCTCTGGGAATCCAGTGCTTTGGATTTACTACACCGCCAGGCCTGCTCTGTTCACCCTGTGTGCTAGAAATGAGCTCTTCTGCTGCCTCCTCTACCTGTTCAATTTCTCTGAAGGACCGTTAGTTGGCTCTGTGGGGCTTTTCCGAATGGGTCTCTGGGTCACTGCCCCCATCGCTTTGCTCAAGTCCCTCATCAGTGTCATCCACCTGATCACAGCTGCCCGCAACATGGCTGCCCTGGATGCGGCAGACTGTGCCAAGAAGAAGTGACCCTGACAACTTCTGGAACCTCCCACCTGATTGGTCATCTTATTGTGCCACATGGCTTCCCTTTCCCTCCTAGGAGGCCCATTCTCATATCTTCCTAATGTGTTCTCCAACGTGCTGGGATGGGGGTCAGCCTCTCTTTGGTATTGTCACAACCTCTGTAACCCTGAAGATTAGGCCCACCCTTGTGATCCCCAAAGACCTGGTCTACAAATCAAAAAGGATGCTCAGGAGGCCCTGTGGTACCAGGCAGCCTATTTGAGGATTATGCATAGCCACACATGTGGTTGGCTCAGCCCTGGCTTCTGGCCTGGCCTGAGGTTTTAGGGACACTTGAGAGAGATGATACAGGGGCCATGTTTCCCAAAAGGCAGGTGAGTCAGATCTCTGCCCCCTGCCACAGGAAGCCTGGGACACAGTGCCCAGGAGGAAAGGGGCCGTCTAGATCCTTCCTATGGCAGTCTCCTCCATCCAGTCTACCCTGACCTTGAAAGCCTTGATAATAAAGGCAACAGTTTCTCTCTTCTGGACTTGGTTTCCTTTTAGACATTTTTGGATCAGGCCCTGGATTAAGGGAAGATTGGGAAAAAGGAAGGTCTGGATGTTTTCCCCTGGTTTGAGGCTGGCTCCTTTCTGTCATTCCAGAATGACAGAGAAAAGTCCTTCCGACCACCCACGCTCATGCCACATCTTCTCAACCCACCTTCTTTATGTCCCAGATGGTCATATTCTTGATATTTCTACCCCCCACTAGAGTGTAAACTCCCTGAGTGCACAGACTTCCTGTTCCTTTCTCTGTGGTTAGATAGATATTTACCTTAACCTGACATTCAGTAGTTACTTAATAAATATTCCAGAAAAGATTAGTTGGTTTCTCAGAATGTGGCTCTTAGACCACTTATAGGTTATTCTCAGAATGCAACCTCTTGGACCTTTAGAATCAATCAGTCTCCAGAGATGAACCCAGAAGTCTGCAATTTTAATAAACTCCACTTAATTCTTCCTCCCCCCGCCAAAAAAAAAAAAAAAGGAAGGGAAGGATTTCCTTTCTCTATGGACTTTGATAAATGTTTTCATCATGGAAATTAACCTATAAATGACAGACCATAGGAATGGTAGCATGGATAACAGTGTCCTGTGCTCCAACATACATCTCTAGGGCAGCCAGGGACATATTCCTTGGAATTTCAAAGGATAAATTTCATATGGATTATGGAAATATATTCTTTTTATTTTATATAAGTTGAATTATATACTACAAATTTCACATATTAATTGTATAAAATAGACTGTGACAGACCTGTTTATGGGGATCCACTCAATGTACATAAATGGAAAACTTCTATAATCTAGGCACAAAATAAAATAAGGTACACAACTGTGTCAAATAAATCTCTGGATCAGAACTTAGGCAAAGACCTGGATATCAGAATTGTTGAGTTGTGTGATTTGTTGCCTTACATGATAGGATAAGTTGTTTCTGGGCAATGAAAACAGTAAAGAAATCAATCTCCTACTTTTTGCCCTAGGTCTATCAGATTTCTCATCTCTACAAGCTGCTGACCAGCATCTCATCCCCTGGGAAGAAGGGGAACCTCAGAGGCTGTGCTTGGTCAAATGCATCCTTGTCAAAGGTGTTCTAGTAGCCTTTTGATGTTTGATATGGCTTGTGGATAGAACTCATTGTTGCTTGTGAGTTCCATTTCTGTCATTAACTTTCTTTTTAAAATCATCATCATTATCTTCATCTCCTGTAACTTCTGCTCATTTCCCTCCTCCTCCTCCTCCTCCTCCTCCTCCTCCTCCTCCTCCTCCTCCTCCTCCTCCTCCTCCTTCTCCTTCTCCTTCTTAGTGGTAGTCTTTTTAAATTTGGGTCAAAGACATTGTGACCTCGGGTAAATTGCTTAATCTCTTGAAACCCCAGTTTCTCTTGAAACCTCATGTATAAAACTGATAACAATAGTAGTTCCCTTAAAGATTTTTTTTTGTGTGAGATTCAAGTGATATAGGATCCTTAGTAGAAGAGTAAGGACAGGGAAATTGCTTAGTTTGCTGCTATTATTAATGACAATAAACTATCACTTTCCACATAATATATCAATATATTTCCATAACAATAAATATTCACTGGTATGATTTTTAAGGTTGCATAGCTTTCCATTGTATAACTACCCTATGGTTTATTAGTAATTAAATACTGTGATTCTTTTTGATTGACCACAACACTTCCAGCTAAAATTTGTTGGTTAAATATAAGTGTCTACTTTCATTCTCTCCTAAAACCCTCCAAAAACTACAATGAATGAATTCATGGAATAGGAATGATAGGAGTGGAAACAAAAATAAGAAAATTATGGAAGCAGAAAAGCAGATAATTTAGAAGACCCGATAAAACTGACTGTCAAATGAGTGGCAGGAAAAGCCAAGAAGTAAACCTTTCTACACCTTGGAACTTCCTTGGGCTTAGGAATTGGCAACTATAAAATAGGTCTGGTCATTGGGATGAAAATAGATGCTAAAATAAAAAAGATTGCTTGAAAGTCTGTTTGAGAAGTTTCTGACATCACACTCTCCACTGCCAGAAACTGTCCTTCTGCCACCCTTGAGAGAGACGGAAGGTTTCTTCCTCAGAGAGTAAAACTGGGGCTCACCAGGGACATCAGGCACCTTTAAAGCTGGAGGTTTCTCACTGAAACATGAAACGTCCCTTGAGATACAATGTATGCTGAGTTCCCGAGGGTTCTGGTCCACTCCCTCAAGAATCTGACAGACCCAGAAGGAATGCCTTTGGGAAACACTCTGCTACCGGAATTCTCTCCTCTCATCCACTCAGCAGACCAATCTGCAGCAAAGCACTCGACTGTCAGTCCCCACTTAAATGATCACAGTCTTTCTCTCTTTACTCTTAATGTGGCTCAGCAACCAAGTATCACCAGAGATCTGAGGAATGCCCTTACTATGAGAGAGGGAGCTGAAACCAAACAGGGGAAAACAAATTACTGAACTACCCAGAGAGAGGAAATTTTAAAAAACAAACAAACAAAAGAAACTGGTATTAATATTCTAAACCTTGAGAGAACAGGGGCAAAGAAAAAGAAACAGTCATAAAGCAAAAATAATCTCTTGAAAATTAATACTATTAAGTGAAAAAACTCAGTAGAAGGGTTGAAATATACATTGAGAAAAATTCACAGAAAGTATGACAACAAAAAAAGAAGAAACGTAAACAAGAGAAGAAAAGATAGTTTATAGACAATGATTTGGTGGGAATATTTAAAGAGGATATTTTAAATCATAGAAACCAGCAGAATTTGGAGCTTGAGATAACATCAGAGAAGAATTCAAATTTTTGAGTCAAATTTTTGATTTACAGTGCCAGACCCTTAAGACAGACACCAGTACGAAATTACTAGTGATCTAATTTTTTTAAAAAAAGTTTTATGCCTAGCACCAACAACATGAAAAAATGTTACGTGAGGTTTATTGGCAAGTCATAATATCAGTACATTACTTTTTGATCAAAATAGAAAAAAGCATAAGCTAGAAACATGAACTGGTACAAAGAACATCCTCTTTATGTAAGTGTCTCCATTTAGCCTTCATAAGCTCACACAGGACAAGGTTGGGTGAACTCTCAGCTCAAATGGCTACTTCTACAATAACAACCGTGATTCAGCAAAGGAAATTGTTTAACCACCAGGTTTAATTTTCTTTTATCTTTATTTCTAGTACTGCTAAAATTCATTTGGAAAGTCCTTAAGATTCCATGTATTATAAGGTGCTGAAATTCATTTTGACAAGGTCATATTTATCCTAAAATGAAATAGAGAATTGAGATATTTAAGAAATCTTAGCATTTCATTTCCCTTAAAATATGCAGGTAATTGAGACAAATGTGTTTTTGAAGTTATCCTGCTTTATTTTACTTCTAGGCTAAATCTATGTCTATACCCCAGGATAACATAAAGAGCAGGAAATGATTAAGTACATTTGATTCATGTATCTCAGCAGATAACCAATGATACCCAATAGAATCAACTAGCATCTTCCATTCCACACCAATTAAATCACAACCTGGGAGTTTAGGACCCCGGCAACAGTATTAAAAAACTATTAAATGATTATAGTATGCAGCAGAAAATTATAATCACTGATAAAGATAATCAAATATACAATTCAGGTAAAATATACTTTGAAAAATTGGTAATTGAAAAATACCTGCTTTTTGGAGGCTGTCTAGATATAGGGTTCAAATTGGTGACCATACTTGGTTAATTATTTCATATCTGGCACTAGGCTTTTGTGTGTTTGTGTGTGTGTGTGTGTGTGTGTATTTTCCCAGCATTTAGGTGCAGTAAGTCAGGAGTTGGAGCAGGAAGTGAAAGTTGATAAAATTCTTGGAGTGCCTGACTATCTTAGGAAAAAACCCGTCAATAAAAAAGTAATATTTCTATTGTGGAGAACAATAATTCTACATCTAGTTTTGTATCTTCATAGGAAGAACTTTAAAACCTACTGTCAGGGCACTGAATGTGGATCAACATTGATAAGCTCCAGAAACAATCATGGCTCTTTGAGGCCTTGTGAGATGGTGAGAGCCCTCCAGTGATGTGAGGAAATGGTTACTTGAACCTAAAGATTAGCTTCCTAATTGGATCCAGAGAAGATATACATGTGTTAGTCTTTGAGTAATTACTCTGTTTTTTCTCCCTAAGTTCAGTGGTATTATTATCTCCGAAGAGATAATAATAGAGTTAGCCTAACAGTGGAAAATAACCTCAGGCAATATATTTGAGATGGAGAAGGAGGGGGAGGAGGAGAAGGAGGAGGAGGAGGAGGAGAAGGAGGAGGAGGAGGAGGAAGAAGAGGAGGAGGAGGAGGAAAGAAATGAGCAGAAGTTAGAGAAGATGAAGAGAATAATGATGATTAAAAAAAAGAAACTTAATGGAAGAAGAGGAGAAGAAGGAGTAGACCATGAAGTGGAATTGGAAGAGGAAGAGAAGCAGT